CCGTCTGAAGGGCTTCCAACAAACTATCCATGACACCTTCCTGTGTTTTGTCCGCATTCATGTCCACCAGCGCTCTCTTCCTCATTGCACGATCTGCTCGTTCTTGCTCGGCCTTCTCTCGGGCTTCTCGCGCTCTTCTCACCTTCTCCTCTGTCTCTCGCAGCTTCACATTTTCTCTGTTTGCTTGCTACATATCAAACATAATAATAACTGTTTACCAATATTTCAGAGGTCCTTGCTGCCTCCATAATCGGGGTGATGATGAAGGCAGCAAGGCACTACAACCCAAAAAACAGCAATCTTTGGACTCACTGCCATGAAAACCTCAAATCCTAACTGTCCACTAACTTATTGGCATGTATTTGGCCATGATTTTACTCTAGCTTTAAGAAATAATTAAACCTCAAAAAATTACCAAAAAAGCATCCTTAAATGTCTTGACATCAGTGAAGAACTCCTCCAAACTATACTTCTGCTTATCAAAGGCATAGAACTCTGAAAGATCTGCATATAATGACTCCATGTTCTTGAACATACTATCCAGGATCTCATACTGTGACCGAGCATCCTCTGCAAACGTCTGAGAGCCTTCATTAAGGAAAATTTACACATAATAATTTTCCATGGTTAATCAGTTCTTTCTACAACAGTTAATTATTCATTATATCATGATGGTGCATCAAATACAGAGGTTATTTAAAAGTGAATGTGACATGTCCTACGACTGCCTGACCGATGAATAAAAAGGGGTCTGGGAAAAATGGTTATGGCCTGAGTCGGTATACTATCCTGGCATTCACGTGGAACCATTGACTTTAAATATGAGGATCAAGCACGAAACACCTGAGTTAATTTAAACTAGGTTTCAAACTGATTACTTCATCAAGAAAGGCATGCAAATTTTTGTAACAAAAAACTTGATAAAGTAAATGCAATGGCTTACTAAGCTAAAGTCTGTTGTTTATGATGAATTTCCCTACTGACCTTCATGATCTCTGCCCTCCCACCAAACATTTCATTACTGTTATGCATTTGGGTGTTCCCAGATTCAAATCTTGGTCCACAGACTGGACAGCATAATAATTCTTTTCACGGCTTTCCTCAGTTCTCCCAGGCAAATGCCAGGACATTACTTTAAATCAGGCATAATCACTTCCTTCCATACTCTTTCCAATTCATTATTCAACATATCATCCTACCAATAAAGGTTACATTATCTTATCTTTTGAAAGTATCACTAAATAGACCAAGAACAAATAAATCTACCCTCCCAGTTAGGTGATAGAATTAGGAATGCAGGAGTAGCAGTGAGGCAACAAATGTTATTCCCAGTGAAAGGAAGACAGAAAGGAAACCAGAAAAGAGGAACTACAATTCAACAATTCCATGGTGAAAGCAAAGTTCTTCTTGAGAATCCAATACAGTAATCGCTCAGTTAGACCAGAAAATCCCTGCTTTTATGGAACATTACCACATTAAAAGAGCCTGCCAAGTCTTAGGTACTGCGTAACATTTCATAACATGTTGTTCTTTCATGGCGAGGACCACCCATTCTTGGATATCTGCAACTGCTTATTTAGTATATTCACAGCCAACGCACATACCTGAAGACCATCTGCAACTGAGGACATGCCATTTTGGGGTAGCAAGGGACTATTTAATATGACACCAACTGCAAATCACGATGGGTCTTGACATTCTCCACTTTACCAAGATTTTAGTCACTAGCAGGGGGAAAAGTTGTGGTTGTGCACAAGAAACGATCAGGGAACAATCTTATTTCTCTTAAATGAGAGCCTGGTAACTTAGATCAAGACCAATGACCAGCATTATGGTCTGTAAAAATATAGCAAAGGTACGATTCTGATTCATTAACTTGTATCCCTTGTATCCATATAAATCCTGACAAAGTCAATATACACCCCAGCTACCAGTCATGACAATCATCAATGTGTGGATGATCACAACTCATAAATATCAAACAGTAAGTAAACATTTAATAATTTATTCTAATAAAAAAATATTTTCACAAGGGATAACCTTACACAGATCCACAAGGAATGTCATGCAATTTTTATGGAGTCCACAAGTATTAAGATACAATAATTACTGTAATTATTATGTAATCTTCAGCATTAAATATTCATATTTTCTTCCACTGATCACAGATTTTTGCCTCTAATATCTAATATAAGGCAGAACTTTGATACAGAAGGGGCAGTTGCCTACATAGGCAATTTATGTGTTATGCCTTCATCTTTGAGATAAAGGGACCAAATATTGCAGTTGAGTGGTTAGCACTACTACCTCATGAAGATGGCTGTCTTCTGGGATGTTGTGTGACTCATCGCCCTGATGATGGAGACATCATGGACCTCTGAAATGTCGGTAAACTTCTACCAGACTATGTGGTGCAAAAACCCAGAAGACAGCCATCTTCAGATTCACTGCCAAGAAAACCTCAAATCCTTCACTACTATGTCATATTCAGGAGGTCCTGGGCTCATATCTTGGCCTGGATGCTGGCCATCACAACCGAGGTTTCCTATGATTTTTTTCTGTCCCTCCAAGCAAACAACTGCTTTCCAATTAATTATTTACCTTATAATTTGATCCTATACAACCTGAACTGTAAACAGCCACATAAACCATACACAAACAGTATGATCTCAAATACTGAAAGTGGCGAGTCCATCTTCATAAATAAATAAATTTGCACAAAATGGTCAAAGCTTCAAACCTCTGGTTCAAAATTTCAGCAATACAATCACTTAATAAACTAGAAATTCATGATAAAGGATACACCCATGACTTCACTGAAGTGGTCATCGTCTCCCTGAGGTTGTTTGGTGTTACTCAAATCAGTCTCCAGGTTCTGAATGCTGCTTTCCATTTGACGTAAAGTCTTCTGTATTGTTTCCACTGAAACCCTGGCTGCTTTATCCACATGAGCCAAGTCCTCATTGAATGTCAGTAGCTCTGGGAACTTATTTTCTATTGTTTCCACCAAATAGTGCAGCAGTGTCAATTTATTCTCTATATCCTTTGTACTTGTGAGCTAAAGAGTGAAGACATCTAATTTAGATAAACACACACAATTCAAGAGACCATACAAATACAAAGTTATTCAACGCAAGCTGCATGTTAAATTATTTATTCTCAATCAGCCCATGTAACCAACTGGCCACATATATAGTACATTAATGAAATAAAATCTTCTCGGGTGATCAGCCAAATGAGATGGTTAAAAGAGGAAATCGACGTTTCAGGGACCATCTCTATCCCCATCTTTTAACCACCTGACCCGGCTGATCACCCAAGAAGATTTTATGCCACCACAAAAGCTTCAAATCATATAACATTAAACAAAGATCAGGATAAATGAAAAATAATTTTAAATATGCATTAAACTCTCATATATTTTTGATTCATCCCTGTAAATTCAATACAATACAAAGTATTTCATAATACACAATTTTCAGTACTTCAAGATCTTATTCCTGAAGTCATTCCCAGATAGAAATGTTAATGGTAGTGAAGCTGTAGACATCAACTGAAGATGATATGAACAGACATAAAACACAGTTACACATGCACATCCAGCATGACTGGGCACCTGCCCACATTTCAGTTGATGTGAGACAAGTACGTGAATGACAGATTAGTTGTGGTGATCAACAGAATTGGCAGCTGAGGTCACCTAACTCATGTACATTTCTAAGTATGAGGTTATATGGAAAATATGGTGTATCAATGCAAAGTAAACAAAAGACAGAAACTAGTTAACTGAATTTTTTATACTGACAGATACATGAATGGCCCTGTTTTACAAAAGGTTCAAATCATTTTAACATTCAAATACTCAGAGATCCAAAAGAGTTGAGAATTTGAAATACGTTCATATGACACTTCTGACATGCTGGAATGACCTCGCGAATAAGATCTCAAGGTACCGATATAAAGTCACTCCCTATATTCACACAAGCAACATGATATACAAGTTCAGAAATAATTACTTCAGACTGAATACTAACGGAGAATTAGTGAATAAAGATGGAAGACATTAGTAAAAGTAGTATCTTTGTAATAATTACTGAAAGAGCACATGTAAAAAATTATGATAGTAACACTCAGATAATAATACTAAAAATACATAGAAAGCAACACCTTTAAGTCTTTTAAATCTTACCTTAGGTAAAAAATTAATTTCAAAACCAAATGCCTGGCCATTCTTTGAGCCACTGTTCATATAATTTCCAACAAGAAGAATGAGTTCCAGTATCTGAGCAAACTTCTTGCTGGCCTTAACTTCCTCACATGCAGCAGTACCAGCCACAATGTCCTGCCAATCAGACATGTTCAGTAAAATGAAAAAAATGGAATAGATCTATGTTGCAAGAAATATTCTTATTTGGTTGGTCCATATTTTATTTAAAAATATACAAAGGTTGTTTAATGAACTGGGATAACAACTAACTTAAATCAAGTAACCAATTAAACAATTTGCTTCAATTTAAAAAAAAGATTCAATATCCACCAAGGGCACAAATTTTTCTCTTCGCCATAACATTCTGGTTCCCACTCATGCCAACATGCAGGATGCTCCCCAGGACCACAGCGATAAGAGCAGTCACGCCATCTAACATCAAGGTCTACAATCCTTGCTTCACTTCCATATGTTCTATGTATCTTCATGGTTTGGTGAAGAAGCAAGGAAACAAATGTATTTTTACAGATGTTGTTTAATGCCAAATATGACAGAATGAAGTGTCGAGTTATTTTTGTTCACTAAAGCCGGCTACATGTAGATGATAAAACTGAACAGTTATCATCTACACGTTGAAGTATACCTGTGAGGCGCGTCTGTTCAGGCATACCTGACAGGTATATCTGTACGTGTGAAGCCGGCTTAAGCCATGCATTAATGCTTCCAAACTGCTAAGAAAACACTCCAAATAAAGCATACAGCTAATTATTATACAGCCCACAGAACTTCCACTTATCTGCAAATGAATCGTGGATTCATGGCAATAAAATCTGTTTCACTGTTTGGAAACAAAAACAGAGATTCTTCCATTCAACAGAACTTGCAAAGGTTCCTATGAAACCTCACAGCATTAGCTACAGCAAACTTGACTCATAAGTAGATGCAGAGTTCCATGATTACTACTTCCATTACAGTTCTCTTTAAACGTTCCGGCACAGTGTCTACCCTAAAGCTATGATTGTGCCCACATTTCATAGAATAAACAATAAAAATGTGTGAAAGGAACATAACTAAGTCATATGCATAAAGACAAGTCACTTCAAAACTTTGTGTACAGATAAAGAATTTAAATCCTAATTACACAGTTTTCATTCTGATTTCTATCTCAAAAACTGTAATAAACACAACTTATTCTTAGAAAATACACTGTGTTGTATTGTAACTTGGATGCCATTTAACAATCTGAGATATTAAACACCAGAAGTACTGCGGGAGTTTAAGCATTATCACCTGGAGGCGAACGTCCACGTCAAATTATCATCTAACTTACGGATCCATGGAATGTAATAAATTTCTACACCATGGAAACAACAGTATACTTACAGGTTTGATGTCCTGAACCATTTCAATAAAATGGAGCTTGAAACTCATAGATTTCAGGCGTGGCAATAATCTTTTTATGTCTGCTAACTGAAATTAAGACAAAGTAATCAGCTCTCAAGCATAAATCAGCAGTACCTTTGATCTTCTGGGTTCAGATACTATATAGTCATACAAGTGGTTATGTGTTTTGGAGGAATGCATTACCTCAATTTTGAGGGTAAAACAGTCCTTCAAACATTGCTAACCACCTGCAAGACTACACAACATCACAACTCAGAAGACCATTATCCACAATTTTACTGCATTGAAAACCTCAAATCTCAAAAATTAGGTTTAATAAGAGCTTGACTTAACAAAGATTCTATTCACTTTTTTTTCATTTTCAGGTATTAAGATCTTATGAAAAGCATAAAGAATGCTTTCTTGGCATAGTGTGTCGGCAGCAGACAATCTGATAAGTTAAAGAAACAGAATACATCAGCACAAATTGTTGCAAATTACTTTCAAAAAAGAATTTGCATGAGTCAGTACACTACACTACACTACACTACTGAAATGCTACATGTACCACCTGGATTTCAAACCCATATTAAAAACCTGATTAAGCTACAACAAGCTCAGAAATTTTATATCATCCCACATTGGAATACACAATATCCACACATGTTCTCCTGCAATGTGCATTTAGAGGTATTAAATCTGCCTCATTCAATAGTTCCCACCTTGACCACCAGATTGCAGTACCTCAATATCTACCTCATGACTTTCCTCATCTGACATTCACTATCACAGCTTTTAGGACATTCAAAGGTATAATTTTGAGGTTGTGCAGTACAGCACAACCTCCACATCAAATTTCATCCAAATCCATTAAGTAGTTCTTGAGTTGGATCGAATGGATGGACGGACAGACATGACCAGCCCATAATGCGTTCTTGCTAATAACATCAACAATTTTAAGTATTACGATATGTACTGGAATGGTATACAAGAGCGTGGCTTACCGTGACAGCAAACTGCTCAGCCTCAGTGAGTTCACTGTATTGACTGCGAAATTCTTCCAGCTTCTTCAGCTGGTCAGGTGGAGGGAAATACGATATGAGTTGCTGTAGAACATTGTCTGTTATCACACTGTCATCACAACGCAAAACACACGTTCTCACATCGGCATAGCTCATGTGCTTCAGGGATCCTCCGAGCAAGATTGAAATGTTTTGTGCTGCCTTACCATCAAGTACCTTCAGATCTTTCACCTTCTTCATTGTTCCAGCCCTGTAACAGACAAAGTTATAAATACAACACTAGGCCGTGGGTTATGTTGCAATCTTCGGGGCCAAGTAAGTATCATTAACAGCCTCTCATACTGACATCATCCTTAACTTATTTGCTTTACTTCATTCACATTTAATGATGCTCTGACAACTGAATCATGGAAAGTAATCATTATATCTGAGCTTGGGGAAATGCTGACAAACAAAATCCACATGAAGGCTCAAAAGAAATAACCCTACTAATGAAACTGCTATTTATTGGCTAGTTACCAAATTATTTTCAAATAATGCATTCGGTTCTAAAACAAACTGAAAAAGCGACAACAAATTAATCACTGACCAGTAGAGACAGAACTTTTTGTTACAACATAGTATATTCAAGTGGATCAACACTTTTATAAGCTGGCAAACCTGAGTTGTTGATGCAGACAGGTGGCAATGCCCAGCTACATCAACAACAAACCACATAGCATGCTTAAGCAATGCCTTTTAACCCCGTAACTCTTTCACACCACAAAAAAGCACTACAGTAAACTACTCATCCTTAATGCAAACCTCTAGTACACTAGCTCCCCACTTAATGGTACCTGCACCTTGTAGAGGTGGTGGGGGTTGAGTACCTCAGTGATCCCAAGAGCTACTGGTAGGGCCTCCCTAGCCAGATTGGTCGAGGGGGAGAGGTCAGACTAAGACAGGTACCCTGATCCTCCAGGTTGGGGGTTGGTCGCAAGGCTAACAACCTTGCACCGTAAAAAGGAAGATGTTTTGAAACCTCAATCAAAGCCTCGGACAGACGGACCTAACGGAGGACCGAATGGAAGAGGAGAATTGAGGAGGCCATGGACTGAATACGGACCGGAGAGCCTTAGAAGAAGTACACTAGCTAGTTTTATGTCATGCCCACTTGGCATGCATGCCACTGTCTGACCTTGAATTACAGCATGACCAAGCCTCAGCAGTGCTGGCAGACACACAAAAAAATATTCCAATGTTGTGGGAAAAAATTTAATCTCCCTTCTACAAATCTGCCTGCTCTTTTGCAGGCAAATACAGGATTGCTACCAATGAATTGTAGAAACATCTGACATACCTATCTACAACATCATCCATCTTCTTTGAAGGAGGTTTAGATGAGAACTTCTGCGCCAGTCCAGTAAGAATGTCTGGGGAAGCAAGTTTCTCCTCTTGGACCTTTACCCAGAATGATTTTTCTGACAACTTCTGGGGTAAGATCTGTTGATTAAATCTATAGTTCAGTATTTTATAAGTCTTTCCACATACGCTTACTACTGCATTAAATAGAAATATAAAATTAACATAGAATGTCTTACAAATTTTTTCTGCAGTGACTACTCTTAATAATAATATTTTTATTTCAATCAAGCATATGTTGGAAATATTTCACAGTTTCAGTATAAAAAACAAATTTCTTAACAATTTCCTGACAGCAATGGAAAACGATCCAAGAAATCGAATTCACATATACAATAAATTCAAAACACTACTAAAAATAAACATAGTAAATACAGGAAAAACACTCCCACATTGAATTGAAAAAAACTGAAAACAAAAGATCCCGATAAAAAATCAAAACAGTAACAACCCTAACCCAATTAGATTCATTTCCTGGGAAACCAGATACCAATGATAACATTTCACCATCAACAAAACGATGCCATAGTGCAAAAAAGCTATGCAGGAAGAAAGATGACAAATACTCACTGAACAGAATGTTACAGAACTGTACCAGCGCCTTGAAAAATGAAGCGAGAATTCATACAACAAATTCTATTTCTGCACTATAACTTCTAACTGCTGCGGTACAACTACAAACACAGCATACACAAGTATGTTGTTATAAAATAGCTTCACTTCAAATCACAAAGTACTCACTGCTTTCCAGTTGGCTCGTTTCAAAGGGCCTTCCACTTCCCACTTTTTCTTAGGTTTTAATCCATAGGGCAGCACATCAGGCTTGGGAATGGCTGGCATAGCAAATCCAGGTGGTGGTGGTGGACCCATACCAGGCAGAGGTGGAGGCGGTGGACCTCCCATACCAGGCATCGGAGGTGGTGGAGGACCTCCCATCCCTGGCATTGGGGGTGGTGGAGGACCTCCCATTCCAGGCATTGGGGGTGGTGGAGGACCTCCCATCCCTGGCATCGGGGGTGGTGGAGGACCTCCCATCCCTGGCATCGGGGGTGGTGGAGGACCTCCCATCCCTGGCATCGGGGGTGGTGGAGGACCTCCCATCCCTGGCATCGGGGGTGGTGGAGGACCTCCCATCCCTGGCATTGGGGGTGGTGGAGGACCTCCCATCCCTGGCATTGGGGGTGGTGGAGGACCTCCCATCCCTGGCATCGGGGGTGGTGGAGGACCTCCCATCCCTGGCATTGGGGGTGGTGGTGGCCCTCCTGGTACAAGTGGAGAGAGTTGACTCCCACCAACCTGCAAGATGCAGAATAAACCTAACCATTCCTTACACACACCACATAATTTTCTATTTGAACTGCGCCAGGGTTTGCAAGGATACATAAAAACAGAGCTAATTCTATTTTCCTCAGTTTATGTATTACAGAAATTCAAAATTATACATAAATAATGATTTAGAAACTAAGTAGGAGCCACTAAATCTTACACATGATTCTCTATTAAAACTAATAGACTCTAAAATTACACATGTGTTAGGTCAAGGTAAAATGTCATCTGAGAACCTGTTTTGATATTAAGTTTCACCATATGTTAGCACTGACAAAAAGCAGGATATGGAGAAACCTATCTCAGTGCTACTATATTTACCTCCTGACTTTGAATTGAACCTACAGTTTTTTAAAAACATTGTACCCAAAAGATGTGCACAGCCTCAATCTACTTAAATATTTTCAGGCATGGACACAAGAAATTGATGACATGAATGATACTTCCTTACCTTGCCCTTTCCAGAAAGCTGTTCCAACTCATACAACTTCTTTTCAGCATGAGCAAGCTTTGCTTCTGTCTCTTGTCTATTTGCAATGGCTTCTTCTAACTTTTGACTCATTTCAACCAATTTCCTTTCATCTTCTACACGAGACTTTTCTGTCAACCAGTATAGGTCATAGGTATTAAAAAAATTCTGAGCATATAAATTGAAAACATTCCACTAACAATACTATCATAAAGTTAAAATATGTATACAGGGTTATTCATAATTCTCTAGCACATTACAAAAAGTCGTTAGACTTGAATGGTGAAATGGATGGTAACATAGGACATGCCGATAGAAAGAGAAACTCTCCAAGTTTATTTTACATCCCTTATAAATGCTCAATAACCATGTGCTGCTTCGTTGGCCACCCCGATCACCTGACGCCATGTGATTTCTTCTTATGTGGGTATGTTATGGACCAGGTCTTTGTAATGCCTCTGCCACAGGATCTGCCTCAGCTGCGAAGACAAATCATCACTGCCACCTCACAAATCGATCGTGACATGCTGCAGCAGGTGTGCGTGGAAATGGATTGTCGGCTTGACGTCTGCCGCGTCACAAAGGGCGAACACATAGAGCATTTATGAGGTATTTAAAATAAACTTGGACAGTTTCTCTTTCTATTGGCATGTCCTATGTTAACATTCAATGCACCATTCAAGTCTAGCGATTTTTTGTAATGTGTCAGGGAATTATGAATAACCCTGTATGTGTGTGTGTGTGTGTGTGTGTGTATATATATATATATATATATTAAGCAAGTACACTACATGCAACAGAACCACGAGCAATGACCAGACAGGATAAGAGTCAGTCACAAGACATATGGAATTCATGGGGATCACTAATGCGAAAGCTTAGAAAAAAATTGGAAAATGCAATAAATAGTACTGAGACAAAACAGAAATTATATGAATTAGGATACAAGACACTAAAATCCTTTGAACACACAATTTAATATCACAGGATTCCTAACAAGCAATGGCATCGCATTTAGTAGGAACAACCCAAGTTTGAGGTGAAAGATGTTAAAAGAAGATGAATAAGTCTAGAAGAGGTACATGATGAATTACAGCCAGTCAGGGATGACTGCACATGGATTGTTAATCAACACAAATGATTTAGAAACAATGTGAGAAAAGTAAATCAGAACTACTCTTCAGTGCGTGTAAAATGCACAGATTCATTTAAAGACTAAAGGCTGATTTGTTACAATTACACTCACTGCTTTAGTAAATGGATATAACTGTAGTAATAATATAGATGCATATAAAATTTATCAGAGTTTTATATCCTGATGCAAGCATGCTCTCTTTCTCTTTCACAAACATACAGACATACACACACACACAAATGCTACTAACATACAGTATGAGAGCTCTCAAATGTCATGTAAACCTCATATTTCAAAATAGCAATAGCTTCTAGTAAAACTTCTGCGTTCCTCTTTATTTATATTATCACCCAATAAATTAACATCAGCAGCATATTCCGATAGCTGATGTGTCCCAATCAGTTACAAACCCTCCTACATATCTTGCTTGGACTTTCCTGATGGCATATTCTAAGACAAAGTTAAAGAGCAATGGAGACAAAACATCTCCTTTGTTTTTCAGACCGTTCTTAATGGAAAATGAGTCAGTTAAATATTTACCTACATAAATTTTACTACAGGTTTCATTTAAGCACATTTTTATTAGACTCACTAGCTTCTTTGGTATACCAAATTCAATAACAATATTATATAGCACTTCTTTTAACAGAATCACAGACTTTTTAAAAATCTATAAACAATTGGGAATATTACTGTACTAAAATAAGGAGCATTAAACCATCTTGCATCAAAATTTTACTGTATTACAAGGAGAAGCATTAAATTTATCTGCAAAAAAAAATACCTAGGAGGATATGGTTGGATCCATCCCAAAACATCTGACATGTTAAAATAAACATAAAACTGAATATGCCCTAGAAATACTGCAAATGTATACAGTACTGAGCTAACATTTTGAAATATGAGGCAACAGACACTAAAGACAATGTGTCTGGAAAATCATTTCCCAACATTTACCGACTAGAGTATCTATGAGGGGCTGCACATCAATCTGAAATCTACGTTTGGCCCTGAAGTCAGGATCACAACCACTTCTGTGCAGCACTATCTGAGATACACACTCTTCTATCAGTTTGTAATAGGCTGGCCTGAAATTCAAATAAAAATACACTCTGCTGAAAAGAACCAAACCACACTACGGTAACGTACTAAATCCAATTAACTCTATGGAACAGGGTATTCAGAAGAGAGCTGACAATTAATCAGTAACTGAGAAGTCCCTCAGTACAAAATGCAAAAGGCTTATTGTCATTATGATAAAAGCACGCGAAAGGATTCTACCCTGAACTAGTTTATCCAATTCACATCTCATTCTATACTGACCGCCTGGTGACTTTATGACAATAATTTCTGAGGTCATTCATGCACAAAATACAACTCCTGACATAAGTCCAATGTTGACATGTGGCAGACTATCTGAATGAGAAGTCCCCTGACTGATGGATTGGTCACTGTGCTCTGCAAAATTGGCCACTGCAGTCACTACTATATATATATATATATATCACTATATATATCATCAAACTTTGAATGTTGCAAGGAGCATGAAACTTAAATTTCAAATATCCATAGCTTCATAACCACTGAGAAAAATACCTATGTTCACATGACATTTCTGACCGGAAATGATCTTGGACATAAAATCCAGAAGTACTGACAGATGAAAGAGATGCAAACTAGACAAAAGTGTTTCAGGATGGAATCTGACAACAGAAATGTAAACTGGACTGAACTAAGTCAGCATACGATCCAATGACAAATAGTCTTTTGTGACGGTGGTGAACTGAACATTCAGATTATACCTCATACCATGGACTTGGTTAGCAACTACATCAGTGTTTCCATTAATTTACAGTATGATGCCTACTTCTTTACACTCAAAGTACTTCTCACCTTATTAGTGCATCGTCTCGTATAAACAGAAGATGCTGCAGTATGGATAACAGGTATGGTTCAGCACTGGAGTCCATTACAAGATTCTTGATAACTTCAAAACAATCATTGATATCATCCAGTTCAAGACGAACATTGTCAAAACGTTGTACAAATTCATAGTAGTCTTCCTCTTTGTGATCATTAAAAATCTTCACCTGGACTGTTAGGTCCCCACTGGCATCATTCTCCAGAGTCTGAGGAAAAAGAAGTTGTCACCTTGACAAAAATCATTATCATATTTGACGACTGACAGTTCATGCACTCTGACCTACTACTTTAAGAGGAAATATCCACTGTTAATGTAAGTGACCGGCTGCCGCCTCATCAGGATTCCTCTTCTCACTCTGAAGGCAGCAGAGATGAAGATGAACACAAAGATGCGCCTGGAAACAGCAGGTATGTAGCAGACCAAAGCAATAGCAATGCGAGTGTTGCACTGCCATTAACAAGCCAACCACCTGGGTTGGGATTCCCAGATTTTGCAAGAAAGTCTACCCCTGGAAATTATGAAACTACTTTTTATAGAATTTCTAATTATGATATTTGAACAAGAAACCAACATGTACTGTCATTGGTATTATGCTGGTAAAATGGTACAGAACCTAGTTTTGTTTGGTAGGATGTTTATAACAACTTAAAAATGCAATATCAGACAATTTCTTCTTTACCTACAATATAAGGGTTTGTTCATAGAGCAGTAAACCTTGTACTTGACATGTGAATGGATGAAAAGTGAGAAAAAGACTGTGGACCGAGTATTGGGGAAGCTGCAGACTACAAAACTAATTCTATATAATGCATAAAATGTTCTTTTAGTAAGTAAATTAAATAAAAACTATTTTACATATAAAACTGGTGTATCTGTTGCACAAATTTAAAAACATTAACTGTATAATATATTTCAAAATTTCTAAAAACAAGTTAATAAGTGACTGAACACTGCTTACAAAGATGATTCTTGTTTTATGATTTTATTTATTGAAGATATAGACCTTTAAGCAAAAACATGCACCAGTAGCACTGGTCCCAGAATTTAACTTTGAGTGATTGGGGGTTACTGGCCATTTACACCTTTGTACTCTTGAAGGTTAAAAGATCCATTTGCTAGCAAAACAAAAGTTCACTTATATTCAGGCACGTAGAGCAGACAACTTACTGCTGCATCTGCAGATTTTACTTTGGCTTTTCTGCACGGCAAATGTGATAAAGAACATCTCCAGCAAACACTCTTGGTCCCATCACAATTCAAGACAAAACCTAAAAAATTAGAAAAGTAACTAAAAATAAACAGCCTGTTATTCATTTTTGTCTACAACACTTACCTCTAATACATCAATCAACCCTGCCCTCATAATCTCATTCCTCAGGTGGAGACGGTACTCCATATCATCTGGAGTGGCAACTATTGCATTTATGAGTTGAAGACATCCCACCTGCAACCAATCATTTCTTTTTTCAATTAAATACCGTAGTAATTGTATAATCTATATTTGTTATTAATTCTAACATGACAACAGGCATTTTTGAGAATTTTTAAAGCTGGTGCAGAGCCCCCCACAAAACAAACAAATAAGATAGAAATTACTTTTAAAATGTTGCATATTGTTATTATAAAGTCTTTCTGCTACTCTAAGTTCAGAAATACTTTTTACAGATTAGATGGATAATTCATGTCCACTAAAGGGCTTTGAAATGAACAGTGTTAAATCTTTGATTAATAACAATCAAGATGATGAGATGGGTAGCTAAGTCAGTATAGTGACTGGCTAAAGGCTGGATGATCACAGTTCAATCTCCAACAGGGGCAAAGGATCTTCTTCTAGCCTCTGCGTCCAGACTGGCTCTGGAGTCCATCCACCTTCCTGTCCAATGGGCACCAGGGTCCTTTCCCAGTGGTAAAGTGCAGCCAGGGTGTGCTCCCATGGTTGAGATGAAGTAGGAGCTATACCTCCTCTCCCCTAAGGATGGCTTTACTTTTAAAATCAAAATGGGAACTGTGTGAAAGGAGAGCTAAAAGACAATCTTTTGGAAAGTAAAGTCACACCATGCCACAGAAATAGAAAAAGTTAACCCTCTTTCTGCCAAGGAAAGCACACTAAAATCGACTATTTGTTGCAAAGACAAAACGTTTAAGAAGAACAGCATGATCCACTTCTCCTGAGCTCTTTGCTTTAACTGTACTCCCACATACATCTCTGAGATATGGTGTTCAAGCACACAGATAACTTTGCCTTCAATGTTAACAATTACAGTTCAACAATTAATACCAATAAGCTAAGAGCCAAATTTACATTTCATGTGAATGTCATGCTACATAAAAATTGTCTTCACAAAGCCATATCACAAAAAGAATTACATTAAATGGCTCTAGCGTTGCTCCTACATCATAAGTTCACATAGCTGCCATATTTATACTACCAATGACACAAAAGTAATAATTCTAAACCAGGGCTGTTTAGTGGCATAATGTTCTTATCAAGTTTCATGAAAACCTATTAAATGTTTCAAAAGTTATTATGGAAAACACACATGGATGAACATGACAGACACTGTAATATACCATAAGTCTATTATCCCTTCTAAAATAAGGAAAGTAGGACAAACAAATTACTATTAGTTGTAGAAACTAAATTTGTAAGGTGAACAGCATGAAATAAACAAATTTCAGAAGAAAACATAAGTTTAAAAATTTCATGAGCATATATAAGACATAGAGACAGAAAATTATTCCAACACTTCCAACACAAGTAAAATCATAAATTCCCATACAGGTCTGATAGAAAAAATACATTGCAATATAAAGAGGATAATTTGGATGCCCACTCAGGAGAATGTCACATGACATGAATAAGTTCAACAGACAGACTACAAACAGATGACTCATAGCTGGCATAATACCATAACTCACTGTAAGAGATGAGTGACTCTTCACCATGAGACCCTGAACCACTGGCTGGAACCTCTCACGTCCTTTAATCTCTCCTGTCATGGTAATGGCTTCCAACACCCGCTCATGTCCCGATGGTGGGATCAGGCAGATGGCAGCCAACACCTGGACTGCCTGCTGCATTACATTGGGCTTTGATGGATCCAACGAACGGGCCAGGATCGTAAGAGCTTCTTTGTGGTCAAACATCAACTTGATCCCATCTGTGTTGTTCATAATTGCTTTAAGGCAGCGAATACATTCTGACTGGATACGATCATACCGATTATCACTGCCAAATAAATATGAATATAAAATGTAAAAACATTAAAATGGTACTGAATCCATCTCATTTATATTGGCATCTTAAAGAAGGGGGTGGGACGTTAGTATGGCATAATCCGCTTAGCACTGCCATCCACAATAACATTACCCTGCTGTATGTGCATTATGAGCAGCATACATACATAACAGAGCAAACACTGACACACAGAATGTTACTTGAATGGTAAGTACCTGCTCTGCCATCTTACGTTATAAACAAGGCATAAAACATCAAGCCAAAATCACCACTAATGAGTGCAGAGGCCAAGTAAACTGACATGAGCACACATATTCCCTTTCATGATGCTCCATCCAGTATCTTGCCACGTACAATGCTTCCTCTCCACATCTCAAAGAGATGTCTCACTCCTTTCCATGCCCTTCTTCTTCATTTTAAGTCAGTACTTAGTATTACACAGGTTAAAATAATTTATGCTATGTGCGATGCCTTTCCTTATAGTAAATCTTTTGATGCAGGGAAAACAGGTGTCAACTTTTGTAAATACATGTATTATCCATATGAATAATGTAATAGCAATATAAGTATTAGCAAACCTTTAAATGAGAAAAAACTTTATAATCTAAATTGATTCTTCATTAATGTTACTTAGCGCATCACACAATGGTTGTGTAAATGGTCCAGTTAAAGGTTACATTATCCAAGTATCATCAAACAAGCAACACATTCAGATTAATCTTAATTTAGGCTGATTGTACACTGTTTACCTTTCTGTCAATAAATGTCACCAATAAAAAATGTTATGGAGGATATCTAATGGTCAAACACAAAATTACACCACCTAAATGTGAAAATAGATAGATGATATGATATTACATTTTAAATAAACAGGGTGTGAATATGTGGACTGAATTAAACCGGTTCAATGCAGGATCCAACAGTGGGCTCTTTGAATTTAATGGACCCTCAGATCTCAGGAAAGACTAGGAAATTCTTGGCAAGCTGAATGACTAGTAGCTTCTCAGACAAAGTGAACTAGAACAGAGGCATGATGTTTCCTACTTCATGGGAGTATAAATATCTTAAATCTGCAGAATGAGCCATATTATTCCATGCTTTCATTATGTACATATATAACAATTTAATAATTTGATTTTTACAAATTTTCATCAACACACTTGTGGTATCTACATGAAGAACTGAAGATCTAACAATCTACATAGTAAAGGGCAGTCCTTGGGTAGTTGGCAGTGCTAACTGAAAATAATTCTTTCTTGTAAAATTGTTAAAAAAACCAAAGTTCCTAAACATGATCGCAAATTACTGCCACTGAATAAGATCCTAAGCCAGCATTCATTTTGCCTAACAATTACTGTAAACAAATGTTCACCAATGTTTAATTATTTTTAATTTGAATTATAAACAATATATAAGAATGGAGTTTGGTCAAGATTCACAAAATAAAGCCTTCAGACTGAACTCATTACTACCTTTAACTATAAACCTGCATAAGACACTCCAACTATATTATCAGAATGTTTCATTTATTTATAACCACAACATAGTCATAAACAAATCAATTATAACCAGTATCCCAATGGTGAGGTACAGATATTCCATCTACACAACAATTCTTAAGATGACTGTCTTCTGGGTCATTGTGCCATGTAGTCTGGTAGAAGTTTACTGACGTTTCAGAGGTCCTTTCTGCCTCCATCAACAGGGTGTTGAGTAACACACATGCCATGATGATGGAGGCAGCAAGGATGTCTGAAACGTCAGTAAACTTCTACCAGACTACATGGCACAATGACCCAGAAGACAGCCATCTTCAGACCCACTGCAATAAAAACCTGAAATTGAACAAAACTTCCTGATTATAGTTTTCATGTTTATTAGAAAGTCAAGAAAAATTATTGCAAATTCTTAATAAACATTGAAACTATAATCAAGAATGTTTGTATAGATGGACTGTCAACCTAACCTACAACACACAACAGGATGTATCCTTTAAAACTTGTCAGAAATCATTAGCTAGATGCATGAAAAATATGGTCAGTCACCCCAGTGACTGTGGTGTGTTAGGTAGGCTAGACAGTTCTAATTCTCAAATTTCAATACCTATTTAACTCCTTGGATCCAGGATAAACAATATTTAAGCGGTCCGACAAAGAAAACACAACACTTCAACATTACAAAGATCAAATGGTTAAAGGTGTTCGAGAAAATAATGCCTGTTTACAATGAGAATCACAATAAGCCAATAAATATAAAATAAAAGAATCACACAACACCAATAAATACAAAACAAACAGTTATTGATTGTTAAATCAGTTACCAGTTAGTTTCAAAGGGTTAAATCACTTTAGAGGACAGACTGATTAGCATCTTAATAATTCCAAAACAATTACATCATGTTTTTCTAGTACTGCTAATGCCTTCATCCTTGATTATTGATTGTATGTTATACCAACTGAAGAGGTTGAACTGAAAGAGAAAAAAACATGCATGCTACATGTCCCTGTCCATCACAATAACTCTGATCAAATCTCACAACATGGGTCGGGGTTCTCTTTGATCAGATGACAATCACTGTTCTCTGCATGAAACCACTTCTAACAGAACTTGAGAATTCATCACCTTTTTCACAGAATCCCACTCTAACCTGACACATTTAAACACAGTTCACACCATTGAAACCTGTTTCTCCAGGATCTACTCCTTCCATCTCATTATTGTAAAATTAAAAACCAATACTACGAGAAGAGTAGGAAATATGACACCTGGGATACTGGGAACGACCCGTTCTTCAAGTGCCTGAGCACTGCGGGTCCCAACTTTTCGTTGGCTTGATCTATAGATATTCGATAGGACTCCTTGGACAAGCGATCGGCCCGTCACAAGGCCTCTACCTGTACACAGGACAGCACGACACAGAAAAACATCCATGGCTTGAGTGGGATTCGAACCCATGGTCCCAGCGACCAAGTGGCACAAGGCCCACTCCTTAGACCATGCGGCCACTGCAGACCCCGAAATGATTTGATTATATTACTTAACATTATGATAAATTAACATATCTGCAATTTCTGCTACATAAGGGTTATGGAAGAATAAGATCTCTGACACCAAGTACATTTAAAATTTCATGAATTTAAATGAAGCATGCACTTTTAAATGTTGATTCACAGTTAGTAACTTCTGAAACAATTAAAAATATTAAGTGCAGAACAACAGCAGTTATCTGAGTAAGGCAGTATTGCAGAAATGTCCAGGACTATCTGAAGTGCTTGGCTATCACTCACTTACCAGTAGTGGCCGCTGGTGAACAAAATACTCCAATGAAAGTTAGACATGAAACGAAGGAGGGAACATACACGTCATTCAAAATATCTAACCCTCTCAAATCTGTGGCTTCTTTATAGAAGAAATAAGCTCTGTGACATCCACGGTTGAAGCTTAAAAATTCTTAACACCTTATTAAAAATACCAGGTCTTCAAAATAGCCCTTGTAAGGGCTAATGTAATAATTTGTATTTTGTATTACTGACATCTGATTTCTACATATATTATTGCAATGTGTTTGTTGTACTGGCACAAATACCTATCAAACTTGTGCTCATGTTATATTATTCAATTGTATGTTTTAATGCTTCAGCGTGGAATTCGCATCAAGAGCAATTGAAAATGGATGCTAAAATATGCAGATTGTGGTAACTTTCTGTTATTGAACAAAAAGTAATCATCATTATTATCATTCACATTATCACTGTATTATTTGTGCGCTACATTGACAAGGCTAGGAGTGTAAAAGAAGCAGGTATTTATTTTATATTTATTCATCATAAAAAATGTAATTTGCAAAGAACACATGTTTTAGAAAGGACTTTGTTTTAATGTCAGTCCCCTACCATACCAACTATTCTACAAGGCAACCAAGTGAAGTATATATAGCCAACACCTTCATTTTGCTGTCAGACGGTCACAGAACTCAAAAATGACAAGAATTACGAGGCGTGTCCACAAAGTAAGTTTCCCACTCGTCCCACAGCTAGCAAACCTTATATTGCGCGAAGCGACTGTGCGTACGTGATAGAGCAATGACGTA